GAAGAGAGAGAGAGAGAGCCCTGGGGCTGCTGGGGGAGCGGGCTCTGGGCCTACTACTGAAGGGTGCCCTGGAGCCCGGGGGTGAGGGTAGCGGAAGGCCGTGGGGCGCGGGCCTGGCCTGGCCCGCTCGTGGGGAGGGAGCCCCGAGCGCTGCGGTTTGGCCCGCCCCGGTCTTGGGGAGGGAAGGGAGCCCCTTGGCGCTGTGCACAGCACTGCCGTGACACTCGTGAGGCATTCGTCTGGGGACTTGCTTTTGTGCTTGTGGGCTTCGCTGTGGAGATGAGGTGGCAGCGGCTGGGCACGAGCTGTGGGTGTCCTGGAGGGTCTCAGAGGCTTTCAGGCTCCTTCTGAGCACCCTGGCTGCATCAGCCAGCACTCCCTGTCACCCTTCTTATCCTCTCCTCGCCATGAGAGCAGGTATGCTTCGTGGCCTGGGCTGGTGCACGGGCATTGAGCAGCACAGCTTCCTCCCGGCACCTGAGCCACATGCGTACCTTGTGCATTTTCCTTTCTTTCCTTAGGCACCAAAAAAGAAAGTTGGAAAAAAAGGGAAAGGGAGCAAAGCTCCAGCAGTGGTAGATGCCTTGTCCCCAAAGGAGATGAGCAAAGAGCAGGTGAGAGATCCCCCGTCTCCCAGCCCTCCCTGCAGTGGACATTGCTGCTTACAAGAACAGCGCTCGGGACCCCTGCTTGGTGCCTGGCTCTGGGGACGACAGGTGGTGGAGGGTGACAGAGACAAGCGGCTGGGGTTCATTTCACCGCCTGACACATGTCTGGGCTGGGGGGATTCTCACTTACTGGAAGGAGCGGCCCCCTCATCCCACCCTCCCTTCCGCTGTTCTCGGGCACTCTGTTCTCCAGCCCTGTGCCCTCACTGTCTTCTCCCTGACTCCATAACCCTGGCAGCCAGCTCAGCTGTGTGATGGCTCAGCCTGGAGATGTGATTTGCAGCCTGCGGTATGCTCAGTTGTGTTGCTGCTGGGGCAGGAGGCTCCCATAGGTGCAGGGAGGGCAGGCAGAGGTGGAAGGTGCAGCTGCTGCCCCTCAGTTGTCCTGCTTGTTTTGCCAGGTATCATACAACCAGAGGAGGCAGCCCTGGCCTGGGGACCTCACTCCTAGGATAAGATCTTCCACATCCTGCTGTTATTGAAGCACCTGAGAATGGTGTGACTGGACACTGTGAGGCAGAATATCTGAGCTTGGGCTGCTTACAGCAGAAGAAGGTTTTGTTACTCCTTTTCCAGAGACTGATGGGTTCTGTTAGGTCCAGGGTGTGTCGGGGCACCTCCCCTTCTCTCCTGAGCTTCTGCATCCCAGTAGCAGCCACTGTGTCCTGCCAAGTTTGCAACGTGGCTTGCCACGAGTGTCTTGCAGAGGCATCTGTCCGAGGTCTCCTTTTTCACCTATTTGGCTCTTCCCCTTGGCTTTGCAGCTGGAGAAGCATGTTGCACGTCTCCGAGAGGAGCTGGACCGGGAACGGGAAGAGCGCAACTATTTCCAGCTGGAGCGTGACAAGATTCACACCTTCTGGGAGATCACCCGCCGGCAGCTGGAGGAGAAGAGAGCAGAGCTGCGGAACAAGGACCGGGAGATGGAGGAAGCAGAAGAGCGGCATCAAGTGGAGATCAAGGTGGGAGGGGAGAAGGCTAAAGGGGGTGTGAGTTCCCCAGGCTCTGGTTGAGCCTTGGGCAGCTCTGAGGAGGAGAGGGAAGAGGAGGAGAAGCTGGGCAGGATGCAAGCCAGGAGTGTCTTGGCCAATATCCCAGCTCTGGGTGTTCTCTTGTTAA